GGCATTTATCTTTCTTTACAACTTTCATCTTTTTGTTTTTTAGCTCCTGTTATTCACTATTTGCATTTTTGTTTTATTTATTCATACATTTTCACGACGACAGCCGTTTCTAACAAAATACTTCATGGTCAGATTAAAACATGCAATATTTATCACATTACGTCTTGCAGTGCAACAAAAATTGAACATTTTTCTGACGACAGCGATAAAATACGTTTTTTCTATCTACGGAATTTTTTCTTTTACTTACAGCGAAACAAAAATGAGCGGCTGCCTGAAACAGTCCCACTTCATGTGACGTAACCATTAACAGACCAGACAAGGTGAGCGAGGTGTGAAAAAAAAAAGAATAATAATTATTATTATATTAATAATAATGATTGTTATTAAAATATCAGAACTTATAGAAGCACTATGAAATATATATATTGGAATATTTTAGATGGTAACATTTATAACATTATTATTATTATTATTATTATTATTATTATTATTATTATTATTATTATTATTATATATCTTTTTGATTAATTTATGATTAATAATAACTTGATAGATAAATATGTAGACATTTGTTGAAGGTGCTTCTTTCATATAGCTGATTTTTTTTTAATTGTTGCACAGATGTACATACAGTCCTGCCTAAAAGGAAGATGGTGTGACAAAATCTGGTCTATTTATTTATTTATTTATTTATTTAAATGCGAATGAGACATACATGCAGAAAGCTCCATGTCTAAACCCGCACGCTTTACCTGATATTTAATTCGTCTATCTCATTTTTTCCTATTCCAGTTACATTTCCGTGCTCTGGCACCCACAACTTTAGGGCGCAGGGCTAACTCTGGGTAAAAGAGGAAATAAAGAACCGCTATCACACAAAGGTGGAACGCGTTTAATGTTTGTCGTGTTCTTAAATGTCGGCGATATCACATGATGTGACAAGGTATGATCAGCGTAATGAAGAGCTTAATGATGAAAGATCCTGAAAGATTCTGCGTTTGTAGCAAATGGACTACATACAAAACGCCGGTTGGGGACGCTGCGATATCTCTTGACACAGCAGGAAAATTGATCAGACAAAAATGTGTTTCCCGTGTCTCCTGACATTAGAGGTGTTAGACGGTTACACTTTTTAAAACAGCAAAGGTACCGAACCTGGCACCTGCGTCTAGGGTGACTGCCTTCTAGCATCAAAAGAGTCCAACGGTCACTCTTTTTTTATGACAGCAAAGGTGACAGACGTGAACCCTGCGTCTGCCGTGTCACATGACATAAGACACCTTTGTACCTTTTCAATAGCTAGAACTCGGATCCATCATATGTTAGATTCTAGGCTAGAATAACAATGTCCCACCATGATTGGACACGAGTGCCTGCGAACAACATTATTTAGGTGATGGCCTGAAGATCACCATAATGGCGTCTCTTCTGACCCGACATGATATGGTGTTCAATATTGGACGCATTTATCGCCGTATGCCAAATAACATTGAGACCAATAACATAATATTGAGACAGGAGGTAAAAACACGTGAAACGTGTTGTATTTTGATTGGAGCTGCCCTCGGATCCGGCACCATAAGCTCAAATTAATGATTCAGAAAGAGTCTGGCCCAATCACCGAACCAGACTAGATAGTACCCCGAGTTTCAGTCAACGATTGGTGGAACCCTTCTCTCTCTCTCTCTCTCTCTCTCTCTCTCTTTTGCCATCATGTCTCTAAAGTCACCAGCAATCTCTGAACCTCAGGGTACCACATGTATCTAGCCTGGTTCATTAGTGGTACACCCTGTGTTCCAGAGGTTACTGGAAACGCCTTAATTATCAACGTGCCTCTGCCCGTTTCGGTACAGGTTTTAGCTTTTTCTGAAACTCGGGGCGGGAAGCCTGATATAAATATATGTATGCATGTGGACATTAAATGGATGCCACTGTCTTTCGGAAGACAAGATGGATTAATAATTTGATTTTGAGAAAAAAGACATGCATACGTTATAAATATCCGGTATGAATATACAAATCGATTCGTGACTTGCGCTGGAAAAATGTTCATGGAATAATACCCGTCACGGTTTGTGTCCCTCTTCTTTGGTGCATTTCATAAGGAGCTTCCATTTTCTACCCTGTCCCCATGATGATTAATAAAATAATGATATTTAATTAAATAAATGTCATACATTACGTGAAGATCGGAAAGCATAGTCTTTGCAGTGGGGCACTATTCCTTAATGAAGTACACGTATTTTGTGTCATTCATCTCGATGATGGAGAGAGAAGAACAGGCAGTAAAGTTCTTTAGCCTTTTCTAGTTATTTATACACTTGTGTCATATACGAAATTTGGACAAGTAAGAAAGATTATGTGTATATACTGTGAGTAACCAATCTTCAAGATAACCATTGCCTTTTTGGTATAATCATAAGATCACATTTATTAATTTTTATATGAAATTAAAAGAAAAAAGCTGCCTTTACTATATCCTATTTGTCGAATGTTCAATAAATATCTCTTCTTCAATAAATATCAGTTTATTGGACTTTCATAGTTACAAAAATCACAGAACTAAACATAATAAAAAATAGTTATAATAATTATGACAATAATGATCTAATTAACTAATGGACAACCACGAAAATATTCCATTCTCAGCCCGTTTCCGACCTATCCTGAAAATGATATCGAAATCTGCCTATTACTTTGTGAGTTAGACTGTAAACAAGTAACCCAACAAAGGTAAAAACATTACGTCCTTGGCGAAAGTTATAGTAACGGCTTCGTCACAAAAACATTGTGATTGAGATGAACGTCTACCAAAGCACGACGCATTGTGATAGTGGTGACAAAGTGAACAATCGCACTCTCACATCCTTCTGACCAAGTTGCATTCCTTTCATCTGACCTTATTTAGGATGCAATTTGTTAGCGAACATCAGGAAGTTAAAAAGAAAAAGAAACACTCGTGTTTCATGATTTCCGACATCAAAGATTCATATAGTGGGATTGTCGTGTGACAAAAGCCTCTTCCTGTGTGTGTGAGAGAGAGAGAGAGAGAGAGAGAGAGAGAGAGAGAGAGAGAGAGAGAGAGAACAAACAAACTAATAACTCAGTCAATTAACAACTAATACATTATAAATAAATTAAAACAATCTGCAACACAATGATTTTGGTATGTTTTTAATGTCAGGTTAGTTAACAGCTACATATAGCATTACAAATCTCCATAACTAGGAATATTTATCGTGAATAAAGAGATAATGGAATTCAATAACGTTATAAAATATTATTATTCTCCCTTCACCTCACGCGGGTGTACAAATACACGTACGAGATCTTATCTACGATCATTGCAAATATGAATATTTGAATAACTGTCGTAACTCCTGGATTACATTGCGACTGACCTATACGTATCTTGGTTTCAAATTAACAATGCATTTCTTAAAACTAAGAGTAACTTTCGACTAAGAGTCGTTTGGGAAACCGGCACCCACTTAATATTGTAGTTCGAGTCACTTGACTAGCACGTGACTATACCACGTGGCAGAGAGGACAGAGATTTAAGTGCATAAAGCTTTAGGCCACGTGGCGGTTACATACTTTTGCTTTGAGCAGACAAAACTTTCTGAGACAGACATTACTTATACAGTAGTTGACAAAACAATAAAGATATCAAAAACTAAAAACATGAAAACTTTTAACAAGATTTGTTTTTGTGTCCCCTAATTTTCACTAGCTACAGAGATTACATGAAACTTATAAATAACAAACATATATACTGTAACAGCCATATTTTTCAGACGTCCCTATTGTCCAAGGGCTAATTGACAAATTTCCTGTTTATGTACAGTCATATTTGTTCAGTTTTCCCTGTTTTCCCTTTTAGGAAACCATAATGTAAAAGCTGTACATGTAAAAGCTATGAGCACCGGTATGTATGAGGTAAAATGTTTAAACACCCTTTTATCTTCCTCTTGATTTTCACAATTTCAAGGGCAGTGATAATACAAAGAATATACGTTGATGTTCACACGGCTTAGCCCAATACAAAACTTTGGGCTGAAAAGTTACACTTAAAGAGTATTTTTGAGTTTTAAACACAGTGAAGTGATACACACAGCTGTAGGAACTAAGAGATTCTTACTGTATGGCCCCATTCAGAATAGGGGACTAACTAGTCCGAGGGTCAAATATGCCGACTCACTACAAGGCTTGCTGTCTATTCTGCTACTAGACGCTAAACAGATATCCCGTGGGGAAGTATTCAAGTGGGTCGGCCATATTTGACCATTGGACTAGTTAGTCCCCTATTCTGAACGAGGCCAATGAGTGGCTGGAAAATACGTCTTGTGTATTTTAGTGAGCCAAAAGCCTAGATGTACTTCTGAGCATGATAAAGGTTTATGTACATGGGAAAGCACCAAAGCAAACAATACTAGCACCTTTAAGCTACCACTATGGATATTATGAACTGCAATGACTGCATTGAAGACCAACAAATTAAATAATTATATAAAAGCTGCTTCAACCAATTTTTAAAATAAATTATATATGCAACAATATATATATATGTTAGGCTAGACAAAATTAATATGTTAACTGATAAATAAAAGAGCAGTTACTATGTGTAAATAGAACAGGTAGACATATTTTTTATCTTTTTTTTTTTTTTTGAACAAATGATTATAGCAGGTATAGCACAGCAGCTTTTAATTACTTTTCTAAAAGGGGCAGGAGCATGTTAAATGCACAATATGAGCAATTTCAGAGCACAAAAAAGGTTTATGCTAGGGTCAAATACTATATTAAATTTACTAGGACCCTATCCATATTTTTTACATTAAAAAACTTGTGCAAAAAAAAAATAAATAAATAAATGTGATTTCTTCAAAATTAGGGTTGATCGCTCTAGTTAACTAGCTAATCAATATTGTATGGTGTTATGTGTATAATCATATCTCTCTCAATGTATATATCCATCTATCTATCTATCTATCTATCTATCTATCTATCTATCTATCTAGTATCTATCCTACCACACACCACATACATACTTAAAAGTACCATTTGAATCATTTCTGCCACAAAAGCCAAACAAATGCCACTATATAGTTTCAAATAGTATAACTTCCAGAAATACCATAAGACATTGTTTCATATTTTAATATGAGCCCAAAACCCAAAACCCAAAAATAAAATTTGAACTGATTTTTCTGCTTGCATTCTGTGCTGTATACCAATGGGGCAGATAAGTAGGTCAAATTTACAACAAAAATTTGAATGGGCAGTTTAAAACTCTCTTATGGCTGATCCAGTGATTAATTTGGTTTATCTCTTGGCATGTCAACTTAATTTTAATCATATAAGAAACTAACAGAAGTGGTTTATATGTGTAACTGGGAACTCACGCTCCACAGACATTCAAATGTAACTTTAAAATGACAAATACTAGTCAGACAGACAGACAGACAGGTAGATAGATGACATATGCCTTAATCCTTCAGCTTCCAAAAGAGTGCAATGGCAACCAAGAGGCTACAGATGCAGCCTTGATATCCAAAGGCGTAGAACCCCACGGTCTTCAGTAAGAACCCTCCCAGTGTCGGGGAGATGATACCACCTAGAGAATCTACAGCCATTGAGAGACCAAGAATGGAGCCTGCAAGGAAAAAATGGTCCAATAAACCTGATGTTCAAACTTGGCCTGTATTTAACTGCTATAAATTACCCCAGTAAGTTTAGAGATAATAAGGCATATGGCTATCAATATATCTAATAAGGCATATGGCTATCAAAAGTTACTGATATGCACCTTCTATCATGGACATACACGGCTAATTGCATCCTTAAACAAATAACAATGTTTCATTACAGATGTTATTATCTGTGTCTGCTCCTGGTATCACTTTGATCATTTCCCTGTTACATTAAGGATAATACATACAGATTTTTTTCAATGATAATTTTAATCATAGACACAGACCACTAACTACATCATAACACAAACAACGTTATATTACAGATGTTATTACCTGTGTCTGCTTCTGGTATCACTTTGGTCATCTCGCTGGTAGTGGTCACCACGAGAACCGCCACACCAATGGTCAGGGGGGTACTCACCACACACACTAAGATCACGTCCTTAACCAGAGCCTGCAAGTTGAAGGTTGATTTATAATTAATTAATCTTTCAATGACTATCATACTATGATGCTCTTTTTTCTGAAATGATTGTAAGAGGGTTGTGAATTATTCTGTTCAATCAGTCAGAGCCTGTCAGAATTCTTGATTGATTTACAATTTCACAAATAAGGTACAATAATGGACATAGAAATCTAACAGCATTATTCTACAAATAAACAAGCTATAAATAAGTAATATATGATACGATGTTTTTCTAAATAAGTAATATATCATACGATGTTTTTCTTTTCTGAAATAATTTTAATGAGACTTTGAATTATTCAATTCAAAACAGCCTGACATTCGACATTTATGAAAAAAATCTGCACGACTGAATGACTTTTCACGTGTCTTACTGACAGAGCAGAATGTTCAACTGGTCTTGAAAGTTTTGTAAGTCATGACCAATAAAACTGGCAGCTTAAATATGCAGGAAAAACCTGTAAGATGTCCTCACCATCAATAAATATGACAAGGTAAATATTACAAAGCAGAACTTGAGAAGGGCACCGTCACTGAATCTTGATGTCAGAAACCCAACCCCAAACCCTTGAGAGAGCTGGAATAATAAAAAAAAAAAATTACAGAATATTTGGTGTTAAACCTTCGAATCATATATTTTACATACTGTATATTTTATTATCAAGTGCAAAATCTGTGTTAAAAATTATAGTACCTACATTAATAAAACGTATACAAGAAAGATTTCTAAAGAGACTGCATTCACTTTATCTACCTATGAGGCATGGCTTTTTGACTCTTCCTCAAAGCGGCTTAGTCACATGACTGACTCATTGAAGTCATCTTGTTTAGACAAGTTAAACATTTTATCATCATTAGACGAGAGTCAATGAAAAATCTCAAGAGTCAATGGAAAATCTCACATGGCAGGTTGAGTATATCCTCCCCAAGGAGGTGAAAACATCTACAGCCAGTCTAAATCAGGGCCAAAAATATGTCAGGCATAGGACCCGTTCAGAATAGATGATCCGAGTACTAACTGATACACCAACTAAATATGGTCAACCACACTTCAAAAGAGATGGTGCCGATTCCTGATGGTCCCCCACCTCAACACACGCTATTAAAAGGATTAGATCTTGGCTCCGAGGTTTAACTGCTAGGCCCCTGCAGCGACGGCGCATGTGGAGGCAGGGCCATACTGTCATATACTGTTAACTTTACAGAGACGTAGTTGTGTTCATTATCTAGGTTTTCCTTTTACTTTTTAAATGTATCCTACAGGTATACAAGTAGCTACACAAAATGATTACCATCGTTAAAACTGCCTGATAAGATAAAATATATCCATTTTTATCTGCAGGTAAATTAAACACTGTCATTGCCACCACTGGGAACATGGACTGGAATACAGCATACGGCATTCCTGAGAAAACATAGAAAAGAAAGTGTTAAGTGTACACATTAATGGTTTGTCAGAGATCTACCAATAGTCAAAATATATCATCCCTGCTTTGTTTACTGAGTAGCAAAAATGTCAGTTTTTCTGAATATTTCAATAGTTATTGTTTTGCCACCAATTAAGGTATATCCTATCCAAAGTTGTTCTCAAAAACAGATTATAGATTGTAATTCTGAGAACAGATTTGAATGTGGTATACCTGATAAGCAATCAAAAAGAAGTGGTGCATTAAATTTTGCTATTTCAGTGTCTCACACCTTTTATGTTTTTAATATTTTACCATACATAACAGAAGGACAAAGTGCTATAAACAGAAACTGCTAAAAGTTTTGCCCATGCACCTACAAAGTAACAAATTTCACAGAGGTTACATACAAACCTGATAAAGCTTTTACTGCAAGAAAGAACCCCACATCAGGAATGGTTAATAAGCGGAAAAGCTTTTTTATATCACAAACACTGCTGCCTTTGTTCTCAGGAGATTCTGAAATATTAAAAAAGAATCATAAAATCTACGATTGGTGCATTCTATGCCTGTTTATAAATACTGGCACAGTGTACATCTTTGTGATATATTCGTAATTTCACTGTCCAGTGACTATGGCAATGAATGACGTTTCAATGTGAAAAATTGTGAATTATACAAATACTGTTTTTTAAAGTCATTAAGTCTTAAAATTAGAACATTCCTATTGAGTGGTAGCAACAAAACTGAAAGCAAGCTACCTAACATATATATACACACACATACACACACACACACACACACACAGAGCCTTATAGTTTTAATTTACACAGAAAAGAACCAGGTTTGGGGTACAAGGAGTCCATAATGTGAATCTGTAATTTGGTCATCAATTTACGAGGAGTCCAGTCCAAACAAGCCCAACCAACCCAAAAACTTTGTAAGCCATCCAGCCATCTCTTGAAATATAGGCTGTCTTTTGAGGCTAATGGCAGTCCTAATGATGACTAGCTCTCCGGGAAAACCCATGTTGATACACATACCTTTAACAGCCTCTTTGTCTTGATCACTTAGCTCCACAATGTCCAGTTCATCAGCCGAAGTTGGGGCCAGTTTTTTGGTGTTGTGAGGAACAAAACACCACACCAGGACCACGCTTAACACAGACCCTGCACAGGCCACAAACGCAGCTGTTTGTTCACTGATTAAAAAAAAAATAAACAGTGACATTTTCCAATTATTTTGAATTGTCCTGGTGCAAAAATAATCTGTATTTTGTGTTCTGGTTTCCCCATAGAATACTGCACCTTCCCTAGCTTAATGATTTTTTGATTTGCATCTTGTTGGTTATTAATAAACTGTTTGTGTCAAGGACACATTTTATGCTGTGTATGAAACCGAATAATTAAAAAATGGAGGAAGTTTACAGTTAAGGTCACCTGACCTTGGCTCTGTACACGATGTAATGTGTAATTAAGCATTTAAAAAAAATATTAGTTTCAACTAAAAATAAGTTATTGAAAAGTAATTGATTATACTTCTGAAAAAAGCAATTCACAGAAAATATTCAGTCAATTTCGACATTCTTGTGCATTATCAATATATTGCTATTTCACATTATCTTAATACACTTCAACTTTTATTTCTTCTATCTTAAATATAATCTCTCACTCAAAAGAATTATATCAAAGGAACATCCGCATGTCCTTTACCTGTAGTGCTTGTTTACAAAACCACCAATGAACGGCCCGATAACGGAGCCCATTCCGTACGACAGCCACAGTTTTCCCAGGGCGTCGGCTCTCCGCTCACTGTCTGTGAGGTCTGTTATCACCATCTGACCACCTATAAAATAAAACATTAGAATTATCTAGTAAATCCATGTGCGAAAGCTGTAAAAAACTGAAAATCCTGAAAGGGTAGCTTGTCATTTCTCATTGCATTAAGACCATATGAAAAATAGATCAAAATAAAGACTTAAAATCCTGAAATCAGGCATAATCATGAAAACTTTCATTCATGTAATTCTTATAAGCAAATCAATGATTATTATAATATTAAGTAAAGGTGTCTAGGAAGCTTGACATCTTTGTTTTAAAAATAACAATGATAATGATCTTAATTAAGCTGGCTTATTTTTGATGATTTTAATCGATAATGCATCTTGTACATCACAACAACATTTCATTTCCCTGAAAAAAGATTTTTCCTTTCAAAATTGATACAATATCAGAACCCTGACAGAAAATGTCTATTTATTTATTTATTTATTTTTAATTTTATTACTATTATTATTTTTTCTTGTAATATTTTTGGCAAAAAAGGTATTTATCTCTTTCCTTTAATATCCACTCACCTGTCATACAATGCATTAGAAGACTCGGCAAACTGGAGGTGAACAACATCGGCAGTGAGTACGCAGCTCCAAGCATGAAGTAATACATGGCCGCTGCCAGAAAGGCCAAGGTCAAGGCCACTCTACTCCCAAACACATCGCCAAATCTACCGAATAGAATTCCACCAAACAACTGGGCTACCCCACAGGTGCTCTGGAGGTAGCCAAATATGAGAGGGTCGGCCCCTAGGTTCTTGCTGAGATACTGGAATAAGGAGGCCCAAAATAGAGTTAAATTTTTCTGAATTTCAAACTACATAGTGACTGTCACAAATATAAATATATGTACATACAGAATCGAAACAGATTATAATGACAATCAAAACTCATTGGTGATGATGTATTTGATTGTTTTCACTTTTACAGAGATACACTGAAATAACGAGGTTCAATACAGAATGAAATTTCTGAATTTCAAAACCTATTACAACAGAAATACTAATGTACTAAAGTTAAAATAAATACTAGCTATGACAATCAAGTCTCACTAGCAGTGTGTGAAACTGTATTGCCAAGATGCACTGAAATAACTGTTAGGTTCAAAACAGAGTTCAATGTTTCTAAATTTAAATGTCTACCAGTACAGTCATGCAAATATGTACACTGTACACAGGCTTGTAGCCAGGGGGTTCATGGGGGTCAAAAGAACCCCCCTTTTGGCTCTGAAAAGGCCCCCTCTGGGTAAAACTTTATCTACTATATAGTACAGTAGGTACACGGAGGTTTCATAGTATAAGGTCCAATTTTTCAGAAAAAGAACGCCCTTTAGAAATTGCTGGCTACAGACCTGGTACATGTAAATAATCAAAATCAAAAATCAAAAATAACGAAAAACCCAGTCTCACCGGCAGTGTATTAGTCTGTATGGCCCAGCAAGTAGCATACAGGAACATGTTGATGTGGACATTGATGACGAGACAGCTCCATTTCCTGGGGGTTCTCACCACCTCAACCTTCATTTCAGCTCAGGGGTGGGGCAGACAGGGGGAGGGGTCAGATAAATCAGTCTTTGTGCCCAGTGTTGTCCACTTAATGTCCAGTTTCTGCAATATGAGAGGAGAAAAAATAGACAATTATTTTCTTTTATTCTTATTTATTCATTTTTCAATATTTATTTATTTATTGCCTATTATAATCAATTAATATATGTATTAATTAAATTATTCATTTATTTATTTATTTATTTCATTTTTTAATTTTTTAATTTATTTATTTATTTATTATTATTATTATTATTATTA